AAAACCAAGTGTTATATATAATATTTTTATAGTTAACAAAACGTTTCACCACTTATTTTTAGATACATTTTCTTTCCCCACATAAATTCCAAACTATTTTTGACTATATTATACATATTCATACCGTTCCCTTTGCTTTGGGATATTGACATTCACACACACACACACACACACACACACACTATATATATATATATACATGTCTGCCATAAATAAATTAATAATGATATTGTGTCGATGTTTCGTGTGATTTAAACAGTGAAATAAAATAGCAATTTGTGTGATAAGTTAAACAATTGAAAGTTAAATTTATTTTAATAATAATAATAACAATAATAACAATGATTATAAAAATAATAGTAAATGCATTTAACAAATATATATACAGTATATATATATTTTTTATTAATTTTTGTTATCACTTGTGGGCATTGTTTTGTTGTTTATTTTCTTTTAGTAGTTTTTTCATATTCACTAATCATCTCTCATTATTTTATTGAAAAATTAAAAAAATACAATTATATAATTATTAGTTTTTTTTGAAAAAAATCTATTCATTTTATTTATAAATGAAATCTATAAATATAAATATAATAATAAATTTTTAAATATAACATAATATTTATATTTTCATTGTTACAATAATGTTAATAATAATAATAACTGTTTATTAATAAATATGCAAAATAGCAAAAAATGCAACAACAAAAACTTATATTATATATATATATATTTTTATATAATTTATATATTTTTAGCAAATTTCTAATTTTCATGACTTACTTAGTATTAGTAAATATTAAAAAAGACAAAAAAATATTGAAATTTTTAGTTTAGTTTTGTTTATTTTGTTCATGTATTTTAAATAATAGTTATTTATTTGTTATATATCGATATTTATTTTGTTAACAAAAAAAAGTAATTTGTCTTAAATTTAGTTAAAAAAACAAACAAACAAATTAATGATTTTGTGTGTTATATTTGTTTAAACATAAATTAATGTTTTGTTTTGAGAGAAAACAAATGATGTGTTTTCTTGCATTACAAAACTTCCTTAAAAACAATATTATTATTATTATTATATTTTTAAAAAACCAAATTATTGGACACTAATTGTTTAGCTATATTTACACTGAATATACAATATATATATATATATATATATTGCTAATACCGGTTCAATTGACAGTAAATATAGGAAGATATTATTACATAATTATTAGAAAATAAAAATAAAACTATAAAACATTTGTACGCAAAAAAAACAAATAGTATTTTTTAATTTTAATTTAATATTATATTTACACTTTATTTTGTTAAGTAAAAAAATATATGAAAGAATTAGTGTAGTGTCTAATAATTAATATTATATAATATATTAGTGTTAGTGTTGGTTATTAATAGTTATATTAAATAATACTGAAAAAAATATCAATTGAATAAATATACTGAAGTTTTTGTCACAACAATAGTTGAGCAAATAATTTATGGTTTTTAGATGAAAAAAATATTTTTACTATAAAAACAATTTTTGCTGTGTGTGTGTGTATGCATGTGTGTAAATAAAAATATTATTATTATTTTATATATTTATATGATATAAATAGCTTTCAAACAAAAGTGAAACAATTTATTTCCTTAAATTGCAAAAAAATAATCACATTTTTGTAAAATAAACAAACTTTTATTTTTACAATAATTTTTTATAGCAATAAATAACTTATGTGTTTATGTATGTCGAGTGTCACTAAATTTAATAAGAAAGAAAAATATTGAATTTAATAATAATTTTTTTAAAAAAATTAATAGCAAATATATCAAAAAATAAATAGTTGTATTAAATAAAAATGTTTATTATAGTTTTTATATTTATTTTGACTCATCATAAAAAATATAAATATTTAAAATAAAAATTCAATTACTACAATGATATTAAAAAAAATCAAATGCTATTTTCAATGCAATTCATGTGTTTGAATAAAATAGTGTCAAAAAATCTAAAATATCGATAAAATATCAAAAACTATTGTGTACTTAACAATACATACATATATCTATACACACAGTAAATGTTATTTCAATAAAATATAAAAATAGCAAAAAAATATTTTTTGATAGTTTGTTTGGCAAGAAAAAAATTATGAGATAAACTAATGTTTAAATAATTGTTTTATTATTTATAAATAATAAATGAGAGATGAGTTGATAAAGCAAACAAACAAAACAAAAATACCATCGATTTATTAATGAACTTTCAAAATAGTTTTCTTTTATTATTTATTTATTTTTTGTAGATAAATAATTGCTAAATACAGTTAGTTTTGAAAATGTATGTATTATAAATAATTATAATGAAAACAATAAAAGTTATAATATATATATATATATATATTATACACTATATAATAACAATTATATTGAGTTAAGTATTTGCAAAATTTTTTTAGAGATATATTTGATAATAAATCTAATGTTTATATATATATATATATATATATATATATATATATATACTGTATATTTATAGTAAAGACAATGTAAGTAAAAACTATTTAAAAGAAAATATTATTATTATTATAATTATTATTAAACAAATAACTTTTGTTTTGCTAGATTTGTTTGTTTTGTTTTGTCGATAAAAAAGGACAAACAACAAGAATATTATAAATTAAAAAAAATCAATTTTTATTAAGTGATGAATGAGTACCAAATGTTTTTTGTTTTTGGTTTTTTGTGTTACGGTTTATCACAAATAGCAATCAAAAAATGTTGGTTATATTTTTTACGCTATATTTTTGTTAATTTTGTTGTTGTTGTTGATATTATTATTAATATTGTTGTTTATTGTTGAAACAATCATACAAATATAATATAAAGTTTACTTTATATATTGTATACAAACAAATATAATTTTTTTTATAAATATATATTGTATAAACTTTTTATTTAGCAAATATATTATAAAATTTATGATTTTTATTTTATTTGAATATATGCATAATTATTTTTAAAAATTATATTTTGTAAACTAAATTAATAGCCAAATTAATGTTAAAGTCTACACCAAATTTTTGTTGCAATTATTATAAACACATTTTTAAAAAACTATATGTATGTCTTGTTTCGGGACAAATGTTTCGGTCACTTAAAAACAAAGCAATTGTTTATTATATTTTAATTAAGGCTAAAACAGTTATATATTTATATTTAAATTTTTATCAAAGAGCAAAAAAATTACATAATAAATATTGTGATTATTTTATTTATGTCACATACATAAAAGTTTAATAATATTTTATTAGTGTTATAATAAACAATATTTATTTATGTTTTATTTTAGTAATAATACTATTAATAATAATAATCATAAATAAAATTAAAAATCTATTGTAAAGGGTTATTACAAAGTTGTTTATAATATAAATTATAATTTTAGTTATTATTTTACAATTGAAAATAAATGTTAATTTTTTCTATGAAAAATATAATATTATTAATATTATTATAAACATATAATAAATTTTAAAATGCATATTTATTTGCACACAAACTAATAATTAAAGTTTTATATTTTACGTAGAATTTGGATAATAAAAACAATAAAACTAAAATATAATTAATATATTTAAATAATACAAAAAATAATAACAATAATAAATATTTAAAAAAAATAAAAATAAATAAAATTTAAGGAAAAATAGTGCAATATAATTTTTTAAATCATAGATTAAGTAGACTTAATGTCTAAATAAACTATAAATTTATTGTTTAATGAATTACTTAATTAATGGTTTTATTATATAGTGTATAAACATATTAACAAAAAATAAAATAATAATAATAATATTTTTACGAAAACTGTTGACACAAAATATATCTATTATTTAAAATACATGACACTTGAGTTTTATAAACATATATAAAAAAAATTATTTTAAGATTTTTACAACAAATAACAATAACAAACACCTCTTATTAAATTTTATGTGAGTGAGTGAGTGAGTGAGTGAATGAGAGAGARTGAGAGAGAGAGAGAGAGAGAGAGAGAGAGAGAGAGAGAGAGAGAGAGAGAGAGAGAGAGAGAGAGCAGTTCAACAAACTTTAATTAAGTATTAAATGTTGTTTTTCATTACAAATAAAAGTCAAAAATATATCTGAAATTTACTTTTTTATATAATTTTATAGGGAGAGAGAGAAAAAAAATTAAATACAGTATAAGTGAAAAAATAGCAAAAAATGATAACAAATTCTATTTGTTTTTTGGCTGACAATAGAGGACTGAAACTATGGGTTAGGTATATAATACACACATACACATACACATACACATACACATACACATACACATACACATACACATACACATACACATACACATACACATACACATACACATACACATACACATACACATACACATACACATACACATACACATACACATACACATACACATACACATACACATACACATACACATACACATACACATACACATACACATACACATACACATACACATACACATACACATACACATACACATACACATACACATACACATACACATACACATACACATACACATACACATACACATACACATACACATACACATACACATACACATACACATACACATACACATACACATACACATACACATACACATACACATACACATACACATACACATACACATACACATACACATACACATACACATACACATACACATACACATACACATACACATACACATACACATACACATAGTCTATGTGATCCCCGTTATATGTATAATATGTATGTCAGCACACCGTTAGGGATAACTAGGGTAGTGAACCATCCGTCCCAATGGATGTATATGTAATATACAAAACCTAAAACAGGTTGAGCCGCTTTTTGAAGCACAGCCAACAACAACAACAGCACATACCTGTGCATAGCCTAATAGTTATAGAAAATACAGTAATAGTAATACCTGTATAACAAGTCCAGGTGCTGTGTTGATGGTGGCGGTGCTGTTCCCGTACTGTTTTATACTGTTGTAGTTATATAACTGTTTTACGCCAACCGCTGATTAGGCCAACTCTCCTGTTTTTAATACTATTAATACTAATACTACTACTATTATTGCTAATAATAATTTTTAGTCAAATTTGAGCGCTAGTAGTATAGCCGAAATATTTTTCAGTTTTAGTTATAAAAAGCTATGCGATGATGGCTGGAGCTCATTGTGCCCAGTGTTCAGACACCCGGAACATCTATATAAAGACCTGTGACTGTAGTAAACAACGAGTAGTCAATAATAGTAGTAATAATAATAAAACTATCAGTGCTGCAGCTGCTGCTGTTGATAATACCAATAAGCCATTGAATGAGAAGCTGCCCGTAGTATCAGTGATCAGCCATAATAATAATAAGGAGTTCCCGATAAAGACATCAGCTGTGGATCAAAAAACTGATAAACACCAACAAACTGAAGACACCGGCATAAAAGCCGTTAAGGCTGTTCTCTATCGCGTCGTCAGGTATGTTGAAGATCCCTGTCCACCAAACAAACAAACAAACATAAAATAAATATTTGTTTTTTTGTTGGTTTATTTTATGTTTGGTTTTTCTAGTTATTTGCAATAATTCCCAGGGAATTACTTAGTATTTTACCTCCCAGTTCTCAGTAATAGTTAATAATAATACTATATATTGCATATCAAATGTTTGCATATATATATATATTTTTCAAATTGCAATTATTTTTAATGTAAATTTTTACACAAAAAAAATTATTAATATCTATTTATTGATATRATTTATGATTTTTTGCTATAAGTTTTTTTTAAATGGTTTGTTGTTGTTTTTGTTTTACTTATAATTTTCAATTATTACTCATTTCATAAACATTTTTAAAAGCTTAAGGATTTTTAATAATTATTAATAATTATTCATATTATTATTATTATTATCATTATTAAGTACTGTATTATCGTATTATAATAAATAATTTATTCATTAATAATATAAATATAAAGTGAATTAACCTTATGTTTGGTTAGAATATTATGAGATAATAAAAATATTTTTAAAAAAAATTAGCATTGCATTTCAAGGATAATATTAATATTAAAATTTTTTAGTTATCCTATAAGTTATTATTATTATTATTAATTTTATTACTTATTATGATTAATAAGATTTAACTTTAAGTGAGACAATCAATAAAATAAAATAAAAACATTTCTCACAATTTGATGGCTTATATTAATAATTTGTTGAATAAAAACAAATAAAACACAAAAAACAAATATTATTTATACGATTTATAAGATTTGATTTAAGTTTGAAAAAATTATTTTAAAAAAACATAAATAAAAATTGAGTTCAAATATATATATCTTTGAAAATTATATGTAAGTAATTGTTTTTTTATATGTGGCAATCATTATATGATTATACAATTATAATATTAAATAAAGTATTGCAATATTTTATAAGCAATTTTTTAAAAATATTTTTGTTGTTATGTTTTTCCGTAAACATAAAACAAATGATTATAAGATTATAATATTAAATAAGTGTCTCTGAAATTTTTAAATGYTTTTAAAAACCTCAAGATTTTTATTATTATTATTATTTATACCATTTGTGTGATGAGAGATAATTGCCATTAACTTCAAGTACTCATTTTAAATCGCATAATAAATAAATACAACCAACAAAAATAAAAACAAAATAAAAATAAATGTTTTAGACATATAATTGACAATGAATAAAAAGTTAGACCAGTTGACTAATACAATGTCAATTAGGATATCAACAAAACAAAAAAATATGATATCGTGTGTGTGTTAGGACATCACCGACATCGGCACCAACCAAACACATGAGACTACTGGTCCTTATTTTTTTCAGTTAATCAACATTTTGATTATATTATCATATTAAAAGAGCTGCCTGAGCTCTGGGGTAGTTTAGATTAAAGCTCAGGGAAGTCAATGAAATTATATATACTGTATATATTTTTTTGTACAACCATTTCACACACCGTTAATGGATTGATGGTATATAATGCCCGACATATGTCGCGCACATCTCTCTCTTTTTTCTCATCTAATTTCAAACACAACACCAAAAAAAATATATGATATTATTATTATAGATATCATATAATCATATTTGATGTCATTTTAAAATCAGTGATATTCACCAGTGATTCTCATATAAATATAAAGACTGATTTCTGGTACCTATTGTTGGCCTGCTCTCAGCTGCTGGAAGTGTACCAACAAATTACTGTCCTCTGGAAACACCTGTAGGCATATCATAGCCAACAGTTCATTAAAAAAATAATTTTATACAATAATAAGGACTTTGTTTTGCCAATAAGTTAGTTAGTTATACAATATATATATATTATACAGTATATTATTGCCTAAAGACTGTGTCAACTAATACTAATGTATATATACTGTACAGTATATATAAAGACTTGGCCTGTCGTTTGACAGCATAACTGAGCCAATGATATATATGTTTATTATTTAAATTATCACTTTATATATATTGTATATATATATATATATATATATTTCTGGCATTTATCTCAATCTCTAAGACATAACTAATCATTTATTTTGCTTAGACTCTCAATACTAAACAAACTGCTTATTTAAATAGCAAATTGAGCGCAAAAAGTATGACAATCGACGACAAGAAGTCAATTGATAATAAAGATAACAACAACAAGAAAAAGTAGTTTTCAATTAAAGAAATATAGATATCTATTATACGGTATAATAAAAAATTTATATTTTTATAAAATACAACTCTTCTTCCGGTTTTGTTTTGGAGAGAAAATTTATAAAATAATTTTTTTGTTGATATTGTTGTTGAAAGCCATTACTCTCACTATTTGCCTAATAATTATTGAAGAGAGAAAAAAAGAGGTTACGGATCAACAAAACAAGAAAATATGTTTAAATTGCAATCATAATCAAAAATAATCATAATATACAGTACAGTATTATAATAATAATAATAATGATTATGTAATAGCCATCACTAGAAATAATTTTGCCATTAAATACATATTTATTTCATACAGTAATTACACTTTTGTATTTGATTTCATTTGTTTGTATGTATTTGTATGGAGAGAGAGAGAGATAGAGGGACACGACTTTTGCTTAAAAATTTTTGTTGTTGAGAGTATATACTGTATATTGAAAACCATTAAAAGTTTTTTTTAATAACAAAATTTAAACAATATTGGAGTGAAGTATACAAAAGTATTGTTTGGTTCTGCTTTACTAACATTTATAAACTATTATATATATGATTGTATATTAATATATTATTGTGTATTTTATTTATTTATATTATTATTATTTGAGACTAATTATATATATATGTTATAACTTTCATGTATATATATTAATAAACTGCATATACTATACAATATTGTCTAAAACATTGGAAAATTTTGTGTTTATTTATTTTTTCTCTTAATAGGAAATAATTTATTAGTAATATTTGATTTGATGATAAAAAACATCATAATAATAATAATTTATTAATAAGTAAATTGTTTTTTTTGTGAAATAAATGAGTTTAAATTATTACTTCCATATTAAGGAGAGACACAAATAGATAATAATAATACTCACTATATATTAATGAAAAAAACTTGTCTTTTATTATCAAATATTTTTTGGTTTTGACTTTTAAAATAAAAATGTTATTTCAATTAAAACCCAAACTGTTTGCTAAAAAGGCGTTCAATTCAATGTAAGTCATATATTTGTGTTATAAATAAATAATAATAAAAATAACATTAAAAACTTTAAAAACCTTTAAAACTTTATTTTTTAAAAACATTGCCTGATTTAGGGTTAGATAACCTCTCACTGTTAGTAGGAATACACACACACACACACACACACACACACACACACACACACACTATAAAACTGTATTTACAAACCACTTATAGATTTTAAACAAAAATTTACTGATCCCTCTATTTATGAGTATTGAGTATATTATAATAATAGTAGTAATAATAGTTGAGTTTTAAACACCTAAAATGACTTTTAAAATATTTTTTTTAAAGCTAAACGAAAATTATTATTATTATTATTATTCATAAACACACTAAATGACTGTTATAAGTATACTTTACAATACTTATTGAAATTTATATACAGTATTTATATATATAGATTTATGAATTGTATTTTTCAAAATTATTTTTATTGTCATCTATTAAAAGATATAATATTTTGTTGAACAAAAAAGGGGTGTATATTAAAAAAACATATATATATATATATATAACTTTACAACAATTACATACATAATTACAATAAGTATTATTTGGGATTATATTCAATATATAATTTTTTTGTATTATTGATATAATAATATTTTTACAAAACACAATTATAAATCATAACTTATTTTTTTCACTGTTGTTGTTGTTGTTGTTGCAAAAGTTGTAGTTATTGTTGTCGTTATTAACGATTGTGTTGTAAAAAAACATTCATAGCTTATGATTATATATAATATTTCTTTCTCTTTGGATTTTTATATGTTTTATCTGAAAATTTCGTGAACTTTTCAATATTAATGTTTTTAAAAAAATATTTTTTGTTATTCCAGTGTTTTGTTGTTGTTTAAAAAACTGACACCTTTTTTGTAGAAATATATATTATTGTAATTATTATCGTTTGTATTATGTAAGCGAAAGAAAGAGAGAGAGAGAAAGAGAGAAAATAGCATAAAAAGTAAAATTCATTTATAAATTGTTAGCTAAGAAATTATTATTGTATTGTATTATTATTATTTCAAATTTATATATTAATGTTTTTTTAAAACAAAATTATAATTCAATTTATTTTATATTTTCTCCTCAAAAGAAACTTATGTATTAAATGATACAATTTTTTTTTTGGGAACAATCAGAGGGTTTAATAGTCATGTTGTCTAATAGGTGTTGTAGTAGTAGTTATAATATTATATCTTGTGGTTCAGGGAGTAGTAGTTAGTTGTGTCTATCGGTGTGTAGAGAAAGTTATAACATATGTCATAACTATATGTATATGAAATTACACGACTTTATTGGTCATATCATACATTATATTGATCTGAATTATGGTTGTCATTGTCGTCGTCGTTGTTGTTAATCGTTGTCCGCATGAATTGTTTGGCCAACAGGTATGACAAACAGCTCTGTTATTGGGGTTTTCACTCATCAAATGATGTGATGGATCAGAAAGAGGTGTCAGAAAATCTGTGGTGCAGTCAATCATCACTTTTTTGGGATATCATCAATGGTTAGGATTTTTTTTGGAAAAATTGATCTCTCCTTTCACATACACACATATTATTAAATAAAAATTATAGCATTTTTTTGTTGTTGCATACCTGTCCCTCCTCTATGACAGTTTAATATATAATAACTACTGGTGTAGGTATTGAAGTCGTTGATCAGCTTTTGTATGTTCATTGGCCTAAATTAATGACAATCGCTTTTTTCGTCCCATTTCTCACTCGACTTCACACCATATGATTGAGTGATAGAGAGAGAGAGAGAGAGAGAGAGAGAGAGAGAGAGAATCAGGACTACAAAAACTGTATTATTATAGTTATTATTATTATTATATAGTTGTGTTAATTTTTATATTACAATATGATTGTGTATGTCTACTGTATAATAGGATCGGGAGCTGACAATAGATAAAGAAAGACAGATATAATTTTTATATACTATAAAACACCCATAAATTCACTACAATTCAAATCATATCTGTATATTATACATATTAAACATAAAAACAACAGTTTTTGTAACTGTTGTATTGGTGTGTATGGGGTTATGTGTCGAGCACTGATAGTAGGAGCTCAGGGCACCGTTAGCTCAGTTGTATGACAGCAGCCCAGGCAGTAGCGCGAAGGTCAGCCCAGGTTATCGTCCGCAAAGACACCTCAAGCAAATCATTAGACTCTTTTCAAACTTTAATAGCTAACTGTGCTGTAGTTGCTGCTGCTGTGCAGTCCTTTTATTATATTATTAGAGTCATACAAGAAAACATTTAACACACACATACATACACAGACATACACACACATACACACCTTATAAAGTCATTTATGAGAGGTGTTGTCTTACGACACGATAGGAGTATATCTGACAAATAGTATAATCTTTATTAGACAATAATAGTAAACACAATGCAATTTCATAGACAAAGTTGTCTCAACACTTAAGTGGCTTTTTAAAAACTTTTATATAACTATTATTATTATTATTTCAATTAAATTATAATTGGAGAGAACCAGTRTGTGTTTATAATATAAACTTTATATCACACTGTCCTCTATACTATATATCTCTCTCTCATTCAGTCATTTATATACAATCAGTTTATAACAGTCTATGTCTTAAAGTGGCAATCAATACACACTATGACATTAGCAGTAATATCAAAAAGTTGTGATCAAAAATCAAATACAAATGCTGTGTCCACTAAAAGTGATACTAACAATACAACTAATAATAATAATGATAATACTAAAAAATCTGGTCATAAATCATATCAACCAATAGTTAATAAAATTTCCATTTATGCCAACAAGTTAGTGTTAATAAAAATATTTTTAACTAATTTATTAGATATTTAATATAATTATATTTAACCAAAAAATATTTAATCGTAATTGTTAAAATATATGCATATTTTTTCTAATAATTAAGTTTTTTTTAAATTTTCTATTTGTTATTTGAAATATATAATATATGATACATATATTCAATATCATAWTATATGTGTTTTTTCTTTTAAAAAAATAATTAATTGTTATTACTTGACTGTCATAATCATAATCAGTAAAAATACTACAATGTTTTGTAACYGATTTTGTGTTTTAACTAAATTATTTGATTATTTATATATATATATATATATATATCTTTTCCTATATTTTTTGGTGTTAGGGTATATGAAACGGTCCCATCAAAAACAATGAAGTTTGTCGGAGCCATAACTTTGCTACTATTATTAGGTAAATAAAAATTATTATAAATAATTTAAATTTTTAAAATCTTTCTTTTAACCTAAAAGTTAAAACTTTTAAGTTTTAAATTGAAATATTTTTGTTGTTTTTTTGTTTATAATTATTATTATTAAAAATTATTTATTTTCTATTTAAATTTATTATAATTAAATCAATAAAACCAGTGGCCGTGTGTTCAATCGCTTTGGCACAGAATAAGGAAGAAACGGTATGTATATATCTAACTGTTCCGCTCCTATCATACCTTATTTTTATCATAACATAGCCATAACATACCTTTAAAAAATACATATCGCACATAACATATACGGTAATCGTATATATAAATCTAACCCAAATTAATATATTAATTTTTTAAAAAAATTTTTAATTATAAATTATATATTCATGCATATTATTAAAATATTATATAATGTTTATATAGTGTATATATATATATATAGCGCGCTATTCATCAATTGTGTGGTTATTTTTTGTTTGTTTTTTTATTATTGTTAGCTGTAATTATAATTATATGATTATTATTTTGAAATAAATACACTAACTTTCCTTATAATTAAGGACGTGTCCCTATTTTTTGCTTATATTTTTTTAATATTATAGTTTCATATATGCTTTCAACAAAAAAAGTATAAATAAAAATAAAATTAAACTTATAGATAATCCTAACGCTAAAAAGTAAAAAAACTAAAAAACTAACAGCACTTGAATGCTATATATATGTCTACCTGTGCTGTATTGTGTACAACAACCCAAACATAGAAATAATAATAATACAGTAAACATGTATTATATAACAGTTTTAAATATAGAAAGAAAAATAAAGAAAAATTTTATTTTTCATTCAATGTTTAGTTAAAATTGAAGTCTATATTTGTGTTATAATGCATGAAATAATTTTTTGTTTATTTTATTGTATAGTTATTTATATGCTATTTATGTTAGTAAAGTACTGTATCTAATGTTTAAAAATACTTTTAACTATTAAACATTTAGATTTAAATAATAATAATAGAAAAATAAAAATATTTGTATAATAACTAAATAATATAATCAAATAACTTTTCATTTGTATWTTAAAAAGACTTTTCGCTTATTTTCTCTCTATTCAAATGTTTTTAAAAAAATGTTTTTAAATAAAAATAGTGTTTTATATTCATTTTATTCAACAATGTTTTTATATTTACATTTTCTGTTTATGTATAAACTATGAAAATATAATACTATGTATATTWTATATATATATATATATATATATTATTTATTTACCCTGAATATTTATTTATACGATGAGAAACTACTATAGTTATTAACATTAACTACCAGTAAATATCTATGGGAAAATTTTTTTTATAATGCTAATTAATTGGCTAGAAATTATATATACTGTATATAAATTTTATAAATAACATTTAATTATAGCAATATATTTAGCATATTTGAAAAATACAATAATTATTATACTTAATTATGGTGACATTTATTAATAATAATAAAAAAATATTTTTTTGTGAATACAAAAATTTAGTCACACAATAGTAAAATTAAATTTAACAAAAAACAAATTTTCATACATTTATTTTTTGTTGTTGTATTGTTATATTCAATACATTTAAAAAAGTTCATTAAACTATATCATGTATTTTATTTTGAAAATTATTTTTTCATTCAATATTATTATTATTATTATTATTATATATATATATAAATTTATAAAAAATAATTATAATTTTAAATGTTATGCCAAGTCATGAAAAGTGATATCTATTTTGTTTAATATGTTATTCACTATTTACTAATGTTAGCTTACATGGGAAATGATAGACTAATGTTAATTTTAAAAATATATTTTTAGTATATTTGTTATACAATTATATTATATTTTTAGATGCGATCCCATATCATGATAATGCTAACTATTAATATAAGATAAATAAWTAATAGTAACTATGTTTTGATGATTTTACATTTGATTATCGATAGTAATATCAATTGTAAAAATATTTTAATTTAATTATTAGTTGTTTTTTATTACTTTATATATTTATRATTAAAAAAATTATTTATAGTTTTATAACTAATACAGTATACTATAAAATAGATATTTATTTGAGACTTTATTTTTCTAGTAATTGAAATATTAGTCTCACGTTTGTGATATCAATCTGAGATATGATATATTTTTCTGATCCTTAAAATACACAATTACTTAACAAATTAGCGGACAATTAAATGATAAAAACTTTATTTATTTCAATTATATTTAGGTTAGTATTTGTATAATAGTATTTCAAAATAAATTTATAATAGTTTTCTTTTTTTAAAAAAACAGATATTTATCTATTTATTATTTTATTCTAAAACAATTTACAAGTATTTATTTTTTTAAATTTATAATCATATTATAATATCTTTATATATATTGTATGTTGTGTACAATATTGTATAAAAATTTTTAGTTTTAATTAAACAACAAAATTTTAGGCTAACTTTTTTTATGAGTATTTAAACTTTTAAATTATACCACTAATTACTATAGACTCACAAATGTCTACTAAAATTAATGGGCAAATATTTTTGTTGTTTCTTTAGTATATTGTCTCACAAAAAAAAGTGAGTCAACCATTTCTCTTGAGTAAAGTTATTGTTTCGTTATATTTATAATAATAATAATAATAATGAAAAAATTAAGATATAAATTAAACTTAATAACAAACTAAGCAAAACTGTTGACGGATTCACAACAACAATCATAATAATAATAATAATAATAATAATAATAATAATAATAATAATAATAATAATCACAGCTAACAGTGCCCTAACAGTTGAACAGTGCCAACAGTGCCCGATAACATACCCCATACGACAATATTAATTGATCTACAATTTTGTTATTATTTTATTTTTATTATTTTTTTATTTTTATTATTTTTTAAAAAAACTTTTGTTTGTTTCAAAACTCTATTGTTATAATATTATATAACGCATATAAATTATATATATATATACTGTATATATATATATAAATTAATGTATTAATAGATAAATAATTAGCAAAAGCAACTATTTTTCAGCTCTAATTTTATATTTTAGAATTTAAACAATAAAAAACAAATAATAATAAATCAAAACTTTTAAAGACATTTATATTATTTTAACATTATATGATATCTATCTTGTACAGGTATAGATAGCATATACTATATATATATATATATATATATACTGTATATATAAATAAGTAAATTGTCTGTATTTTTAAAAGATAAATTAAGAGAGCATTAAAAACTACTTTTGTATCTAAAAAATTGTATTATAAATTATAATATTGTGTAATCTATGTATATATATACTGTATAATATATATATAGTTTTTTATTTATTTATTTTTTTTAGTTCAAACTTTCCTAACAGACATCCCCTGACAAATGCTAATTTATTTTTAATTTTTATCATTTTTAAAAAAGTCTCTCATAGAGATTACACACAAATTTGAATTTAATTTAAATTAATTATCATTCAAATTGACTGTATATATCTAATCGATGAGAAAATAAACATACTTTTTTTGTAGAAATAGAAATAGTTACAAAAAAATATAAAAATAAATTATTACTTAAAATAAAATAAATATTCATATAAATCTGTATAAATCTTTTGAAAAAAAATAATTTTTTATTTCTCTAATTTTATTAATGATAACTTCCTATTTGCTAATAAATTTATTTCTGCAGTTATAATAATYTATTAGTTTCACAGAATAAAAACTTATTAATTTTTATTTAATATATACAATATATATATATATATTATAGTACTTAAGTATACAATTGACAATTAATTAATCAATTATTTTTGTTTGATTTAAAAAAATAATAAAAACAGACATGAATTGATAATACAATATAAATATTTCATATATATTATAATATTTATTAATAATATGTAATTTATTTTATTAATCATTTATAAAAACAGAAGTTATTTTTAATTAAATAATTTGAGTAATTTTAGAGATAATTACTATTAATATTTATAATAATCTAATGATTTTAGTTATTTTATAATTAAATTTTGTTGTTGTTGTTGATTCAATGATATTAAATCTAATAATTTCATGAGAAAATTTTTTTTGATGCGTAAACAGACAATCAAATTATTATTAATTAAAAAATTAATGCACTTTTTAAAAAAATAATATATATAGACATTCTAACTAATAACACATTAGATAACTGAAAATTATAATTTTGATTACTAAATATAATCCTTGAATTATATTAATATTTATATAAAAAAATTAATAATTAAAAAAACAATTTTATCACAACATCCTAATTATTATTATTATTATTATTATTATTATTAACTAATTACTTAARATTTAAATAGATTTAATTTGATAACATAATAATGATTCTGTCCTCTAATTATATATATATTAGAAAAGTCAATATGGAATGGCATTCCCTTTGGAGGACAGTCAGCCGTTAGGCTCAACCGAACAACGAATATCGATAATAGGTTCGGTTCCCGGCGAAGGTGTTCCGTCATCGACCGTAGACTCGACAAGCGAGTCGCCGGTGACAACAACATTGACGCCGACCACCGAAGAGTCGGTGATCACCACCACTACCACTTCGGATGACTCCGAACGCGGAGGAATCAACTCTGACAGCGACAGCCAAACTAATGATAGTCCGGCGCTTATTATTGCCAACGCCAACGCCGCCGACGATGACGAGGACAAGATTGGAGATAACGGTGCCGTCGGCGATGAAAAGCAAAACCCTAGACTGGTGTTCATCGAGCGGCTGATGGGTTTGCATTTGAGTGCACCGTTTAATAAGGACAGGGAGGAGGAAAAAGATGACAACAGTGCCGTCAATGACAATAATGAGGCACAGTTACCGTTCAGGTATGATATTAATGTCATATAAAAATAATTGAAGAATAGATGTCACACATCATAATTGATGTGTTGTTGTTGTTTTTGTATGACTTTTTTGTTGTATATATTTGACATTTACTATACAATACTATATATGATCAATGAGATGATTACTCAATGAGATGATTGTATGTATGTATGACAGTTCCCCTATAATTAGCCCTAAAAATTATGAGGACATGGATTAAGAGTAGTTTGTATTTTGTTTTTTTTCTATCTCTCTCTCTCTCTCTCTCTCTCTCTCTCTCATTGTCTAAGTGTTTGTGTCGTTAGGATTACATAATGTTTGATAAGTTTTTTTTGCAAACAATAGTGAAGATATCTTTGAAGGTAATATTGAATAGTATTGTCGGCATTCAAAAGCATTGGTAGTTTGGTTTCATAAGTGACATCTAATATATAAGTGGTTTCTTATTTGAATAGAAAGTGATTGAGTGATGAAAAGGAGAGAAAGAGAAAGAGAGAGAGAGAGAGAGAGAGAGAGAGAGAGAGAGATTGCAAACAATAAGTAAAAGTTATAATTAAAAACTAAAAATTTATTTCAAGTAATAGTTTATAAATATAGAAAATTATATTTTCTAAACTAACCATTTTTTGGTTCAATGACTGCCTTTAAATAGTAATAAAAATCATAATAATAACAATCACACAAATATGATGATAATAATAGACACRCAAACAATCAGCACGGTTTGGGCACGGGATTGAAATAAAAATAGTAATAATAAAAAAATGTTTAATGAGTTTTTAATAACCACACCAAACATAATTATATACATAAATAGCTAACAAAACAATACACACAAAAAAAACAATTAAAAGAAAGAAAGTTTGAAACAAATAAATCTCTAAAAATATAACTATTTTACTATATTTTTATACTATAATATTTATATATATATAAAATAATAATATTTGTTTGACATAATAATCAATCTACCAGTGCTGGTGGTGGTGACAGTGATGACTCCCGTAACCCATTTGACAAAGTAAACGCTAAATGGGCCACAAGAATGAGGAAGTTTTCAATTCCGCTGCAAATGCAACAACAGTTGACACCACCCGAAACACCCAACCCGTTGCTCCGGATGGCCGCCGCAGCTATGATGACCAGATTGTTGGCCGCCGCCGCACGAGCTCATCATAATGGTTAGGACCAATTAATAGAGAGACTAAACAATCAAATTAAAAAAAACAGGCATTTGAGTAGTGGTCAGTTAGATTAAAGTCATGTATAATCCAAATTAGCGATAAAATTGTTGRACAACAATATGACAATCAATATTATATATATAATAACTCTAGTATTAATACAGTATAAGTTAGTTACAGTAGTTATATTAGTTAACAATTAGTAAATAATATTATTTATAAAATTTTATAAAATGGAAATAAAATTTATTAAAAATAATGTCAAATATTAGGTCCAATGATGGCTAAAGACAAGGACGATGATGCCGAAGACGAGACAATGCCCCTATTGTTGGCCAGTATGCGGTCAGATGATAGCCGCGAACCTCCGATGTACGGTCGACCAATGCCGCGACCACCGATGATGCGCCAGCCTATGCGTCCACCAATCAGAATCATTGCCCAACCGCAACAGCAGCGCATGGCATCGATAGCTATACCGCAACGTTCCTATGCAGCACCTATGCTACCACAGAGAGCACAGATAGCCCATCGACCGTTGCCACCCGTCCAGCCAGTGCTTGTCATGTTGGCCCACGTGCCAATGCCCATGCAAATGGCCGAATCACGTATGAGCCATCATAGCCAACCCGATSATCATTATTACGGCTCACAACAACAACAACAACACAGAGTTCAATGCCAATGTACCAACAGATGCCTTACGCTCTACCCGTCGGGTATGTTGTCCACAACCAGAGTTGCTATTTAAAGCTTTGATATTAATGAGGAAAATCTCATCCCATTGTTGTCTCCTCTTGTTTTAGATACCATTCCTTGCAGCGACAAGTGATTCCGGTTGAAATTCCGACTCCAGTCCATATGCCCGTACCGGTGGCCTCATACCAAAGACCAGTATATCAGTCCCCATATCAAAGTTCCGCTGCCAACGGCGGACCTACCATCCAGTATCAGCGCCAATCTATGCGGCCAGTGATCGAGATTCCTATTGAAATCCCGGTACCCTATCACGTACCGATGCCCGTCCAGTACCAATCGGCCGGTGGCGTTCAACAACAGTCCAATCACATCGATTCGGATCACGACACGTCCCCTTCCGAGGCCGCCGAACAAGTGGCCATTGTCTATTACGATCCGGACGGCAACGATGGGCCCAATGACGACAACAACGATCAATTGGAGCCGCAGACGTCCGAAAGTCACGATAATATGTACGCCATGTCTCCCGTCGGACAGGGAAAAGGTTTTCACTTTATGTCCAAACCGTTGCCCGATATCCAGTCGGCTACAAAACTGAAACTGTGGCGCGAATACGTCGGCGCCAAACACGCCGCCCAACCCGGTGTCCGATACATACCAGTGGCCATCAATTCAGGTCCGGCCGCTGCCGATTCGGAACCGATGCACCAGCAAGTGGTCATCAGTTCAGATCAGATCGATAGTCAATCTAATGGAGAATCGTCAGCCGGTGAGACATCGGCTGCCGAATCTCAATCGCAGCCGGCATTTGTTATATTAGCCGACGATTCGGCCAACGGTGCCGATAATACCGCCGAATTACCGCTAAATCATTAAAAAAACATACAAAAAATCATCGAATTTTATTAATTTATTTTTTTAGTATTCAATTGAAATTACACTAAAAATTACACTTATTTTTATTATCGTTTTTACAATTTTTATTTGTTTAATTGACTTAAATTTTTTTGATTCTTATATTTTAGACTTTATTTTAAATATTTTATTTAATTATTACTTTAACTTTATAACTTTATATTTTTCATTTATTTTATTAGTATAGTTTAATCTGTTAAAATAATCAATTATTTTGTTATTTACTTTAATAGTGAAAAGATATTAATTTTTAGTTTATTTTAATTTTTTTAGTATTTTAATTTATATGATAAAAATATTTATCCATATTATCCTTAAAAATAACATTTTGTTTAAACTTTTTTTTTCATTTACTCAATGTTCAAAATACTAACAAATATTTAAACATTTATTATAATTATAATAATAATTATTATTATTAAATAGCTCTCTAATATTTAATTAATATTTACCGGTAGATGTATTTTAATTGAATACTGAAAAACAACATAACATAATGTTTTTTTGTTGAACAGTATTATTTAATGTTTGATGTAAATTTTTTTTTCTTAAAAATACATATATAAAAAAATAATTTATATAATTATATTTATATATATAAATCTCAAACTAAAAAACCAACTAATAATAAGTGATATAATTATTGTTTTAATTAAAAAAAATAGTCTCAAACATCTCAAAGACTGACTATAATCCACATAAGATCTTAAAAAAATATTTTTGTATAAAAAAAATATTAGTGAAAACAAATAGCTTTGTTTTATAAATATTAAAATTATTATAAAATTCATTAAATTTTCTGTTAAAAATATATATATAAATCTATTTTGTTTGCCCAGACAAACAAATTAAAAACTGATAATTATTTTATGTAAAATAATTATAAAACTCTATATAATATATCAAATATTATTATTATTAATATTATTATTATTTGTACAGAAAATGAAATGTTTGTTTTTATTTTATAAATTGATTTTTTGTCATAAAAATATAATATCAATAAAATAAATTTATATTTTACAAATTTTTTTAATTTGAATTTATTTAATTTGATAATTTAAAAAATTAAAAATTATTAAATTAGCATATGATTAGCAATTAAATCAATTAAATATAAATTTTGTCGTAAAAATTGTAATTATTTTATCAATAATTTAGGTTAAACTATAAATTTATATTTCTAATATAAAAGTTTAAAAACAAAAATAAGTAATTATTAGATATTAATTAAATAATTAAATCCTTTGAATTTTTACTACCAATTATTTGATAATTTAATTAAAAAGCATTTTAATTGTTAATTACATATTATAAAAATAGTCTAAATATTTTATATTATAAAAAATTTAATTTAATAATTTTTTAATTAAACAATTTTAAGTATGCCAAACCATATAACTAATTGTTTAATGAGTTATTTATTGTAATTTGAAAAAATATATCTAAAAAACATATATAATCGATAAAAAAATTTGGATTAATATTAATGATAAGTTAGTTAAACATAAATTTTAGCTAAAAGTTTTTATAAATATACAGTAAATATTGTATTTTTTATTGTTTATTTTAAAAAATATATTACTTATTTTTGTTGTTGTTGTTTTATATTTTTTTAAAAACTCATTTAAAATTCATATAAATAATAAAGTACTTAAAAATGTTTTTTTTAAATAAGTATTACTTAACAGTAATTTATGATTAATTGTCGCCTAATGAGAGCTATAGTATTGTATTTTGTAATCATTTATTGTGCGATTAAATAGTTCAATATCTTTGGATAATATTATATAAAATAAAACAAAACATGTTTTTTTAAAAATATTATTTTAATATAAAACATTTTTTTTATAAAAATGATTATCTCAATGATTTATTAAAAGTGATGGCCATAACACCACCCATCTCATAATGTATTATAAAATACAAATATAATAGTTTATGTAATACCTGTGCTGATAAAAATTTATACACCCTTTCCCTTATATTTAACTTATGAGTCAACAGATGGCATAACATGTTTTGCATTTCAATATATTGTTGTGTTTTTTGTTATAACAGTAAATAATGTAATAAAAAAAACTGTAAGAAATATACTGTTTATTAGACAACGATTTGTGTTGAACTGTAAGACTTTATTAACTTTTATAACATATTTATTGAAAAATTTTTAAAAGTAAAAGATAACAAATTTTGTTGTTGTTGTTTAGGTTAATATTTGTTTTATTTTTACTAAATATTTGTATATATATTTTTTAAGGAAATACCTTTTAATCACACTTTTTTAGTATATATATTTATTGTACAATAGATAGTGATTTAGTTAGGTTACTGGTTAGTTAGCTTAAGGTGTGTCCAGTGATAACAAAAAAAACATAAAAAAATATKTTTTTTATATTTAAAATTCATYAATGATTTTTTGTAATGATAAATTTTGTTGCACTTATGTGTTTTTAAAATCAAATTTATATTTAATTATTAAGAAAGAGAGAGAGAGAGAGAGAGAAATGATTTAATTTTAAATTTATTAAAAAATAACACTTAAAAACATATAAATTATATCTTTTAAATATAATTAGTTTTTAAATTATTTGGGATATGCAGTATATAYCTGTACTTATACTACAGTATTTGTGTAAATACTRTATATAATTTTTTTCATTTTTCATAACCGATAATCACATAATTATAGTTTCGCATTATATTATATCTAAATCCTATTAAATAATAATAATAATAATATAAATTTATAATGAAATGAGATATAATAAACAGATATATTTATATAAATCATATATTATTTATATATACTCTATATGAGAGAGAGAGAGAGAGAGAGAGAGAGAGAGAGAGAGAGAGAGAGAGAGAGAGAGAGAGTAATCAGTTTTAAAAAGCCTGTCCTTAGCCTGAAAAAATATTTTTTAATTTAAATATATTTTTATTTTGTTAATAATAATTATAAATTATTATAATATATTTAAAAACACAAATTCACTTTCAAATCTCATTGATTTTTCAAAAAGAAAAAAAAACTGATTTTCTTGTCTTTTATTTGAGATTAAAGATTATTATTATTATATATATATATATATATATTATCACAAGTTTGACATCAATTGTATCGTTTGTTTCCCACCTCTTATGTCTGTTAATTATATATAAATTTTGTATTAGAAAAAAATAAATAAAAATGATTAACAAGTTTTGTTGTTAAAATAATATATTAAATAAATATTAGTCAATACATAGACAAAATAATGAGTGTCGAAAAAAGTAAATTTTAATCGCTTTTATATTTAAAATAAGTTTTTATTATAATTTTACGATTATATTGCACTTAATATATTATTATATTAAAGTTTTTTTTAAAGGTAATAGAAATATCAAAAAACAATATCAATAGAAAAAAATGATAATCTGTTTCATTAATTTATTATATTTTATATGCCATTTATAATTTTATGAAATAATGTTAATAATAATAATAATATTAAATAATAATTATATCAAGAAAAAATTAATTATATTCAAAAACTTGTTTTAATTGCTATACTATTGTAATTTCAAATTTTCAATGTCAGTCAAATTAGTAAAGTATTATTTTATATACATTTTTCAAATATTTTTTATATAATAATAATTATAAAAATATGATTATTATTATTATTACAAAACAAAAGATTTTTTTATGAAAATGCTAAAAAATTTTGTGATACTAACAATTCACATAAGATTTTTTAAATCAATGATTTATTGACTTTCATTAACACTAATGGTTTATTTGTTTTGTTTGTTTGCTTGAATGTTATGGGTTTGTACTGTTAATTACTGTATTATACCGTATATACGATAATTTATACGATATATACTGTTATCAATATTACTAAATATATTATTTTATGATAAAATATCAAATAATAATAATAACAATTTAAAATAAAATTGTATCACAAAAGTTTGAATTTTTATGAGAATTTTGATTTAATAATCCATAAATTATTTTTCATAAAATAACCTTAAAGTTTGAATACATAGTTTTTTAATTTTTAACCAATTTTTATTAAATAAATTTATTTTGATATTATAATAAACACTATTTTATATTAATTATGTATAAAATTTTAAATAATGAATTTAGATTATATTATATAAATTAAGATTTTTATGGGAATCAATTGTTTTTTATTATTATTACAAAAAAAATAATTTTAAAATAACCTTAAGTTTTATTGATATGTGAGTAAAATATGTAAAAATT